GCTGAACTGAGATTAAGCGGACCAACGGAGTCCTACGAAGTCTGAATTTTCGTTAGGTGGCTAAAGGTTATTATGGAAAATATACTGTGAAACTAATTTAATACTGTCATTTTATCTGTTGTTTCTATAACTGTAAAACAGAGAAACTTGTTTTATTCTGCATCGTTGTTTTGTTCGTTAAATGCTCGACGTTTTGGATCCAGTCTTGATCCATGCTTACGGGCTACAATGCACATTCGCAAAAATATAAAAACGATTGTACATAACTCTGTAACAACCAGCTTGCCTTGAAACCCGATATAGCGGAAATGTGTGAGCACTAACATACACCCGGCGGACAAACGTACGTTTCCGATATTTTAAGAATGTACATGACAGATACCGGATCGTCAAATAATACATGACAACCTACGGTAAGGAGGATGGTTCTAGACCAGCGGCAGAAACGGGTTGGCATGTTAAAGTGGGGTCAATAAATAGAAGAAATGATTTAACACAGAATCCTAAGATATAGGGAAAAAGTCAGTGCAAACGAGAGAATAACTTCCAAAATATTTCATAAAAAGAATAGAAGGATAAGTTTCCAAAACAATTTTACGATTTAGATAAGACAGGCGGATTCTAAAAAGACTGTGGAATATTATATCACGCGAGGGCATCAGGAATCAAACAAAAAAACAACGCAAGACAATGCAGCACAAGATTACAAAATGAAGCATCTTGTGTAATGCATCATTTCTCCAATTCATGTCATATCAAGGCTCAGACAGACTTATTTCCTAGTATTTTGGAAACACGAAAAGAATATCGGTATGTCGAAAACAATAGTCTGAGTAGCTGATTATTACATTAAGACTTGCATAAAGGACGGTTGCTCATAGACTGTGCACAGGTGCATTTCTACAAAGGCACAGACAAGACAGATGCACATGACATTTCCACTCATGACTTGACGCTGAAAATAAAAGAACTGAAATTGTCAACAGCGGTAATTCGTTACACTTTCGACAAGTACAACTAACAAAGCAAGAGCACCTTTCTCAACAGCGACAATTGAGCAATGTGAATGAGGTACATCTGTCGACAAAGCAGCGATGTCTTCCGTTGTCCTTTTACCGTTGGCCGCGTACTGTTTATCCGTGACGGCAGAGTAAATGCGATCTGCCCTTTTCACATCTAAAATTCGTTTTTAGTAAAGATGTGCATCTCAGTGAAACAATGCCGCGAGTAAATGCAACATGTGCTTTATCAGTGCGCCATCACTGAAATCCTATTACCTCTTGAGGAAAAAACCGGAATTACCGTGGAATGTCGTATATCTATGCAACCAGTTTAAGAACCTTCTTGATAAATGAAGAGGCTAATAATCTTAATAAAGTAAATATCATGTGTCCGCTTTAGCTACCGCTCAATACATCGCAGCTAATGCAATCC